TCTCTATTTCCATTTTTAGTTTTGAATTAACACGTTTATTGATTTTTTTCTTTTTGTTTTTAAACAGCACTCAAGGTTCTCCCTACTCTTGACTTGTGGCATCTAGCATTGCTAGTTTTAATCTAGTTTTACTGTAGTTATGTAGTAGTTTGATCTGTGTTGCACATACTCTCCCAGCATCTCCCCTGAGCTTTTGTCCAGCAGGCGCACCGTGGAGTCCAAACTAGAGCTAAGTGTGCACTGACCGTCCCGACTAAAACATACACAAGTGATGGGACCTGTGAAGCCCACAACAGGAGCGTTAGACATCACACAGTACAAAAAGCATGTTCTCATTGCCTCATGTGTGTGATATAACTCACTCCCAGTGAAATCGACATGAAGCTGGGTCATATCGCCTCAACTCTTCCATCCACAGACCTGATATACAGTACAACAAACTACAGTCACTTATATAAATCCAAACCTCCGATTACTCATATTCTAACATCATAACCTTAGTTTGGTTCTGACCCAGTCAAAAGCTCATGCTCCGAAACCTTCAGGCTGCTGATCCCATCTCGAGCCTCGTCCAGGATCTGGATCGGCTCCATCCGCCTGGATCTAGTGTCCCAACACCGTACGGTCCAAATCAATGGAGCCTGAATCACAAAGAAATAGTGAGATCGAGATTCGACTGTTGTTATTTCCATAAGCATTTATGATAAAAGCCAAGTCTGACAGCATCACAGTAGCCTCCTCATTAAACTGCAAACAGTTTACTTTCTAGGGAACGAGCATAAGATAGATAAGACAATTTTAGTGAACAAATCACCTATATAAAACGTATTAGATTTAATTACAATAATAGTATACTGCAATAGTGAGACTTGTCTTAGCGAAAGCAAATAATAAATGCAGTATGATATAGGGATGGGCGTGCAGTGCACTGACAGTGCATTCAAACAGGGCTGTGTTTCCCAAAAGTATCTTTTGGGAACGGCAGCCCAAAACAATGCTTATCAGAGGACAGAAAAAACATATATGTTTGAGTTATTTCACAATAAACAAATTGAAATTGTAGCCTACATAGTTTGTGCAATTACATTTATTTCAAATGAATGTTAAAAGTTCATATAGATCATGTTCTATTCTGTAATTTTAATATAAATACACTGTCAGAATAAAAAGGTTGCATTTTATGCATGCAACAGTCTGTCACTGGCAGTCCCTTATGAAAATGAACCATGGTTTTACTAAAGTGACCATAGTTCAACTATAGTGTTTGTAGATTTCCATGGCTACCACTACAGTAAGCATATTTAACCATGTATACACAAAAATTGTACCTAATAAATTGCAATTAAGGCGTATTGAAAGTTAAAATGCATTTCAAATATAAAAATAAGTGGGTATTATTACCCATTTTACTCCTAAATTTCATAATTTAAAAGTTCAGTTTAGAAGTATCATATCGGTATCGATATCAATATGACATTACTGGCCTTCAAAAGCAGTGTTGGGGAAAGTTACTTTTAAAAGTAATGCATTATAATATTGCCCAGTTCCTTGGTTACATCATCAACAATCATGGCATTCACATGAACCAGAGGAAGGTGCAAGCTGTCAGAGATTGGCCTCAACCTACCGCCATTAAGGAACTCCTGTAAATTACCTTCTGTTCCCATTGAGGTGTAAACCACCCAGCTCTATGTCCACACACTTCATACTATGTATTTTTCTAAAAGTCAGGTATGCATCTTACTCTTAGATTTGTCTTTGAGAATTTGATGTCTTGTATTGATTTGATATCTTTGAATTGGCTATGTAATTGGCATAATACATATTTACCTGACTGATAATAAATTGTCACTTTTTTTATTTATTCTGACTTACTCTGAAATTATTTTCTCAAGTAGATTAAGTGAAGGCGTATGTTTCCGCAAATCTGCGTCCAGGGTTAAGTACATACTAGATCTCAGGTTAGATGCAGCATGGGGCACATCAGGTGAGATTATAGATTTCTGACTAACTGCTTGACTTTAGTTAAGTTGTACTCGGTTGCGTTAACTATGGGGGGCATAGTACTGGTCATCAGTGTTGGGGAAAGTTACTTTTAAAAGTAATGCATTACAATATTGCGTTACTCCCTAAAAAAGTAACTAATTACGTTACTTGGTTACTTTTTATGGAAAGTAATGCGTTATATTACTTTTGCGTTACTTTCGTGTTACTTTTTAAATTTAAGCAGGGCTTGATTGTTTTATAAGAAGTTCTATTTATAGCAAATGTAAAAGCCCTTTCACACCAAAAAGTGTAATGAATAAACCTCAGGCTGAAGCAAAAGTAAAATCACGTCTGTACAGTAGAACGCAGGAGAAGAAACACTCTTCAGCAATAAAAAAACAATGAAGCACAATTGTTCATTTCTCTAAAGTCATTTTTGCTTATTAGTACGGTTGAACTGGATCATCAAAGGTCAGCAGCAAAGACATTGGTTAATAAAATGGGATTAGATACATTTGTGTTATTTAACATATTTAATTATTGCAGGTTTGCGTCATATTCTGAGTTTGCATTTCACTGTTTTAATTCATTTTGATGAATACTAAATCTGTTTTTTGTGAGTGGGATGAATTAATGCACATTCACATTTAGTCTAGACTCTAGAACTACAGTAACATCATGTCACACAGCGCACACAATGCCTCTGTACTCCCGATTTCTCCCAACATGGGGACAGGAGAGCTGTCAGTCAATAAATGGGAAAACAAAGTAACTGGCATTACTTTTTTGAAAAGGTAACTCAGATATTTTCTTGTAAATTAAAAAAGTAATGCGTTACTTTACTAGTTACTTGAAAAAAGTAATCTGATCTCGCATTACTTGTAATGAGTTACCCCCAACACTGTTCAGAAGTATCGTTATCGTATCAAAAACAAAATAAGCGGTATCGCCCATCCCTAGAATATTTTGGCGGGAAATTGCAACGGTAACCGTCTCACCGCGGCGTGCCCGCGAAGTTAGCGAGTCACCTGGCCAGACACCACATCCCAGAGGATGACTGTTTTATCCGAGCTGCAGGAGCACAGCTGACTGTTGTCCTAAGAACTGCGAAAAGTAAGTAAAATGAACGCAAACCAAACACGAAAGCGATGGTATTTTAATATAATGTAAGCTTACACTTTATTTTGATAGTCCACATTCTACTAACTATGAGTAACTTTGTTAGGGTTAGTCGAATAATATAATTGCAAAGTTTCTCATAGTCTGTTGTACGCTGTGGACCCATCAATGTAAAGTCTACTAATGCTCTAATGACTGCTAGTGGACATGTAGTTGCAAAGTTACTTAATGTTAGTATGTCTAAAGTGGACTATCAAAATAAAGTGTTACCAAATGTAACACAGAAATACGTATCTGTCCACATCCAGCACTTCATATCCGTGACCGGTGTAAGTCTTCAGCAGAGTCCCGCGACTCACACTCCACAGCTTCAGAGATTTATCACTGCCGCAGGTCAGCACATAATTCCCATCAGCTGGAAGAACATGCAATATATAGATAGAAGAACAATTTCATTATTCAGTAAAGAATGTCTACTTTAAAGGCACAATATGTCATTTTCGCCGCTGGACGGCACATATTCAAAATAAACAAATAGACAAAGGCATAATTTGATGATGCCGTGACTGAGTGTGGAATCATGGGAGTTGTGGTCTTCATCCCCACAGCCGACGCAATCCGACGGGACTCGGGCAGAAATCATGTTCATGGATGAGCTAATGATTTATTAATGTAGTAGTATGAAGCAGGGTGAGGCTGAAAGCCGTCGAAGTGAAACGAGGCCTCTGAACGAGCGCGACTCACGGCTCGAAAGCAGCAGAGCTTTTATTATGCCACAGTCCACCGCTTCCGCTTCTTCCGGTCGTGTGTATGTGGGGTAAGAGTGTGGAATCATGGGAGTTGTGGTCTTCATCCCCACAGCCGATGCAATCCGACGGGACTCGGGCAGAAATCATGTTCATGGATGAGCTAATGATTTATTAACGTAGTAGAATGAAGCAGGGTGAGGCTGAAAGCCGTCAAAGTGAAACGAGGCCGCTGAACAAGCGTGACACACGGCTCGAAAGCAGCAGAGCTTTTATTATGCCACAGTCCACCGCTTCCGCTTCTTCCGGTCGTGTGTATGTGGGGTAAAGCAGCACTGTTTTATCATACTAGATATGTTTGAAAGTTCTGTTATAATGCTACTCTGTGCAGATGTCACCGGTTTGATAAAACGCACAACATATTAAAGCGTCTTTGGTGTTTCCATGTTTTCTTCAAAACAAAACCGGAAATCGAGGGGTTATGACAACAGCGTTTTCTTCAGCTGAATGTGTTGAAGCAGTATGGGTATCAATATCGCCATCTGCTGTTTCGGAGTACATACGAAAATTCCCCAAATCTTGATAAAGCAGCACACTAAATCATTTTTGTTTGCATAATTTGATGTCATTGTGTGTAGTTTTAGTTTCATGCTTTTCATCATAACCAGATATCACTGCATTTGATGGAAAATACATCTATTACACAACAATATTTATAAAACCCTATTCTGCATCAGAAACCAAATACGTTGTGTATGTATTTTTCTAATAAACTTATTTTCATATGCTATACACTAAAGATACATGATACAGAGTAATAAGAGCAACATACAGGGCACAAAATTGTGCAACAATATTTTACTTAATAAAGTCAAGAGGAAAATGGACCAGATCACATATACAAATACTGTGTAATATGAACAATCTTTTGGACAATTGATGAATCGTTGAATGACTTCCCACCCACATCATAGACATATGACTGATTACCAGAATGTCTCTGTATGTATGAATAATTTAAAAAAATATATTTACTGTGACTGAATTATCAAAGAATTTATTGTACAGATTACAAAAAAAGTTAACCTGGGTTTCACCTTTTGTTACATGGCATGTTTTTCTAACAGACAAAAAGACAAAAAAAAAAAAAACGCCATATATTGTTGACTAAAGTTCAACTTTAAAGTTCGATCCAAATTGTTATCTGTATCTGACCAGTAATGTCATCATAATGAATTTTTTTTTTTAAATCTAGCACTCACTATTGTCCCAAACTGGGGATTTTTCTTAATTAGGTGTTAGATTTGTACAAATAACACTTTAAACATAACTACACGCATGCCAAACACAAGCAAAGCAAAAATGGGTTAAAAACACTGTGGTTTAAGATACGCAAGCTATTTCTTCTTGCCCTTGGTGGGTTTGGCCAAGAGCGCAGGGTCAATCTGATCTGGGCTCAGTCCTTTGATGGAGAACAGACGTGCAGCCCGTTCCTGCAGCGTTCCTCCACACTTCATGCCTCGTTCCATCAGCTCTTTCTTCAGCCGCTCCAGACCCAAAGCCTCCAGCTGCCCCGGCCCACTCACAGACAGCAGATCCAGCAGACCCTCCACCTCAAGAGAGCGAAAGACAAGTCAGTATTAGTGGTGTGCGATAGTGACAAAAAATAATATCTCGATATTTCCTGGGTTTTTATCGATAACGATAATTAGACAATATTTTGCTGAGGGTGTGTCCAGGAGCGTGGACAGCTTGACTCCTAAAGTTTTTGATATTCTTCATATTCTGTGTGGTGATCAGTTCACAGCAGTGATGGAAATTAATCTTTTCCAATAAGTTTAAATCGATTTTTACATTAAATGGGCATTTTTACCTTTATAAAGCCATTTTTATCCATCATCTTTTGAGTCAAATTCTTACATTTAATCAGTGAGTTAGAATAATAAGACAGTTGGGCTGTTACCAGGCAAATTAAATCAGTATCAAAAAAATTCATCTTTGCAATGCAGAGGAAACACTGAAGTAGAGATCGACCGATATATCGATTTACCGATATTTTTCCGATATTTAAGCATTTTAAAATAATCGGATATCGGTTTTGTAATATCGGATTTACCGATAAATGGCGCCATCTTGTGGATATTTTGAGAATTGCGCGCAGGATCGCCATTGCAGCGCGTCTGAGGGGAAACAAGACAACAACAACGGCGTGCACAGGTACTTGATTTACTGTAGTTAGTAAACTTTAACATAACAGCCATTAATGCACAAATTAGATGTATTACATAAATGCCTGATATGCAGTTTATGCAGCTTGGCTCGAAGAAATGGAGACGAACTCACGGAGTTCACGTAAAATAATCCATCAAGTCCTGTCCCAATAAAGACGTAACTTTGCGTGAATTAAATAATATGCAGCCATGAATGGGCGCATATTGGAAATAAAAGTGCTGAATTTAATTCGCTCTCTGTTGTCTATAAGCTCATCGTCTCATGAAGTCGGAGTCACGTAGGTTAAGATAATCCGTCAAGTCCTCTCCCAATAAAGACGTAACTTTGCATTAATTAAATAATACAGCCATGAATGAGTGCATGTTGGAAATAAAAATGCTAAATTGAATTCTCTGTCTGTTGTCTATCCTCATCATTAGTCTCGTGAAGCCGCTTTCATATCGCTGTTCACTCACCGGGTTGATGCTCAAGAAATGATCCAGCACGGCCACCACATGTAACCTTTAACAAGATTTACTTGTTTAAAACACCCTAAATTGTATTAACATTTACTATATAAACCTTATTTCGCTAATAAACATCTAAATAGATACAACTCTATGGAAATTAATTATTATCTCCACGAGCGATCACAGTTTGAGTATAGTTCTGTGTAAATGCATAGA